GAACTGAAGATTAGGACATGCGGGTGATCTCCCCCAAAGTCTTACCGAGCCGACTGAGTACGTCCACTGACTGAAACAGTATTCAGGCCCTCTGGTAAAAACTATACAATTTTTTTCTCTTTTAGATTTTATTACTCTAGTGACTCCACAGTCGCCTTCTTCCTGTTAACATTTTTTGTCTGAAGACATTGACGCCCATGGGAATGGAAGTAAACCGTGTTGTAGCTGAATACATACAGAGAACTGCTTTCTCGCCTGTCTCATCTGGAGCTACAGCATAAATAAGATTTTAACCGAAGTAAGAGAGCTAGGCTGTGCCCTGTCGTCGTATTGACTGAGACAATTTTCAGAACAGTGAAAGTGTTTGGTATTTTCAACAAAAGTTTATATTTTAGATTTTGATTTGATATGGCAGTATTAAACAAAATTATGCAGAAACAGTACCTGCAGTTTCATTGCTTTATTCTGTTGATACTTAACATTCGTTTCATTGTTTCAACGTGGTCAAAGCACCAATTTCGTTTTCGCATCTTCAGGAATCTGCAATAACGAAATATCAACAAATACTGCCACATCGTGATGACACTGAATTCCTCTACGCCTTATTCCGTGTGTCATTCGATAAAGTTTAGTTCGACAACACTACAAACTGCAAAACAGAAGATACGAGAGTGGATAATCAGAGGGGGAACCAGATTATTCTTTTTAAAAAAAGGTTGAAATGGAATCTCAGTTTACGTAATTTCCGGGGGTATAAATCGATTGGTCGAAATGTTGTCGACTTAAATGCTGAATAAACGTGGTTTATAACTAACTAATTAACTAGATGGCTTACCGAACCCGAAGGTTCATCACCGAATTAACGAAAGCCCTCCACCGGACCCTGTCCTGGGCCAACAAAATCCGGTCTCCTTCAACTCCTATCTCCCATAGATCCCGCCTGAGATTATCCTCCCATCTACGTCTAGGTCTCCCCAGCGGTCTCTTCCCTTCGGGTTTCCCAACCAGTACCCGGTGCACACCTCTTGTCCCATCCATGCGCGCTACATGTCCCGCCCATCTCATTCTTCTCGACTTAATCACCCTCACAATACTGGGGGAGCAGTTTATACGTTAACATTTACAAATATAACAACTGTGCGATATTTGGAGATTTTATATTTTCAATAATGTTTAAGATAGTGGGAATCTGTAACACTGGAAAAAAAAACAATGATATGAGACTTCAGGTTCTCGTCGCGGCGAATACGAAGATGACTTGTCTTCTGGGATGTTGTACTTTGTTGTCTGATTGAAATCAACCGACGTTTCAGAGGCGCCTACTACGTCCATCGACAGGGCGATAAGTAATCATATTTTTGTAGTTCATTCTAACAACACTACATTAAATACAGAATGAAGAATTGTGAACGAAAGCGCCAGAGTTTATTTCCAGAACTTCTCGTTTGTCTCTTATTTTGGACCGTCTGTCTTCCTGTTGATGTGGCTGCAAGCGACACGCATTACGGACCAAAAGCACCCATGTATACACAACTCACCCATACGCACAGCTGCTCCACTGGCTTCGCATGGACGGAAGAGATGCAGCATCCACACACACTACTCCCCTCACAATTCCAACAACATACCCTTTCATTCCAGCACATGCAATAAGGGTTCTGCTTTACCCACCCTTTGATGAATTAAGAAATGAAAGACGGATGGTTTTTTGTATTCATGTCTACGCTGTCAGGGTGTGGCTCAGTGTGGGGAAAATTTCTATCATACATAATGCACCTAATTCTAGTCTCCCTTCCCGGTAAACCCATAACTGACAGAAGCTTCTTCTGTAGCCAGAAGTCAAGAGGGAACCACGGTCTTAGCATGCAATTGAAAAGAGATGCAACTGATACCCATTCTATTCACAATTTAGTAAGGGACGGGTTCAGACTCACTAACAAACAAGTGTTATGACTGCTATTTAAAGTGAACAAAAAGATAAACAGATGTAAGGTACAGATAAACAAAACATGTTAGAACAGACAATTAATTTGCAGTGCTCTAATTACGCCGTCGTTCGTAATGAATCTCCTTTTCATACGTGCCTATATTAAACGAGTCTAACTGCTGCTTTTGTAAATTAATCTAGCAGTATACTACAATCGATAGATTTGCCAATAAAAAGACGGATACTGCTTATAAACTTCAGAATAATCTTTCAATTAATCTGACAAACGGACAGAAAAGTTAATAATTGGTATCAATTTAAATAACGTTATGAACAACTTTACAGATTTCTTATAATTGTTATAAGCATCAAGCTACTATATTACAACCCACATTCATTACATTAATATTTTAACGTCCTGTCACTAATAACAGCATGGCAGTAGTACCAACGTTTGAAATGGGAACGAGACTTAATGTGGATCGTAAATTAAGTGCCGATAATGTAAAATGTGATAACAGACATTCTAAAAATATTAAACTTTTCGTAATACAGCATTTTGTAACATGGAGGTAGCCGAACACCGAAATCTACCTTTCGGTTTAATACCGGTAATAAAACACTGAAAACAGAAGTTTTGTATGAGATAGATCGTAAACACACGTACAAATTCTGTACGAAAAAATTGTGTATGTGTTAAACTTTTACTTCCTACTAGAGACATTGTCAGTAGCTATATTATTACTACTAGATTCATACGCATTGTTCATTAGCCTACTTAATTTTATGATAAATCACCGAAAAACTTCGCCACAACAAACCACTACAAATCTTAACTCTGAACCCCATTTTGAAAGTCGATGGCAGTTCACGTGGACAGATCTGAATCACGCATTTCAGATCAACAACCTCAAATGGGATTGAATAAGTGAAATGGTGTTTTATCTGTTCTATCACACCACGCGTGTAACAAATAAACACTCCTTTTTTCATCTCACTGATAAGAAACACGACAAAAGATCACTCACTAACGAATAGAACTGACTTCATCAGGGGCAATCAACGTTCCCAGACCTGGGACATTTTCTGAATCGCCGATCGCAAAGTAATAAATAAGGGCAATTTAACGAAACGTCATAGTAATTTGTTTTCAATTTAAACAAATTAGGTCTACTGTTACAAATAGGTCCACATATAAATAATTATCTTTACCAAAATAATCCATCAGCCAAATGCTTCGTTCGGGCTTACATTTCAGCTACAAGTATGAGAACATTTATTTATATAAGAATGGCAGTCATGCATTCCAACAAGGAAACAACAGAACGAAGCTCTCATCCCACTTGCTTTAATCAACAATGTCACCCAGAGTTTTCTCCATCCTCTTATACACAATTATTGTCTCAGTAATTTAATTTAAATCAGCGTCTGCGTTACTCAAGATTTCTCTGACCCCTCGAGACGACAATGAAAATTTCTCCTAACACAGTAGCATTATCTTCATTACTGTACACCGTTCCTCCAACGCCTCTTTTAACTTCAACCTCATGATTGACGGAGTGTCATTAGATCATCGAAAGTTAGGGCAATTCAAGCTGCCAATGTACTTCAAGTTAATTACGCGTAAGCGTAAAATTATATTCGAAATAAATTACAGTAACACGTATTTCCAACTGCTCATAAATAATATTATTTAATGAAATGATAAACAAATAAAAAAGAAGTGAAGATATTGTACCAAGATGGCTGTCTTCTGGGTTATAAAAGTTTACGATGAGTAATCTCCCTGATGATGGAGGCAGGACCACCTCAGAAACGTTGGTAAACTACTAACAGACTACACGGTAGACGGCCATATTCGGACTCACCGCCGTTAAAAACCTCAACTCCTACTAAATTTTACAAATTTCAAAGAAATATCTTACACAGTATTGAATAAGGGAGATCACGCACATATTGAAATAAAGGAAGACACTTTATTGTTCCGCAACAAGATTTTCATCACAACTAAATGATCATCAAAATAATTTAGGCAACTAAACTAGCAAAGAACTCATTTGGAAAATGTTTAGGCCAATAAATCTCATTAGGCCTGGGATTGCCGCTTGCTGTGTAATCATAACAGATAACAGCAACTTACACCTCAAACCGTCGAAAAGATTCTTTATCAGCCCCAGTTAATTCTGCAGTTGTTATTGGCAAATTCTCGAATATGCCTACCGACAAAGCACTCTACATCTGGAATTTTCAGCCCCGCCAGTGTGAAATGTATCGTGTTTGAAACAAAAGAGAAGAATGCACAGCGAAAAGAAGAGACAAAGAGATAACACGCTACGCCATATTTCACAAACATTTGTTGTTGTTGTTGTTGTTGTTGTTATCTATAAACTTCTAGTGGCATCTCAAGGTTTGTAAGTACGATATCTGAGATTCGAATGCTGATACACAGAGCAAATATCTGTGCAAAGAATTCTGAAGTGCAAACAGAATACACTAGATTGTTGCGTAACACTGGAAGCAACCCGTTAGTGCTTCGACACAGAACAGACCTTTATCCAATCGGTCAGTATCCATGCTATCCGATAGCATTATTTCTTCCAAATTTGACATGTTACTCCTACTCGTATAATTATTAGCTTCAGGCACCAGAATAATTTTTTTGATAAATTAATAGTCGTTCAGCTAGTCAAGAAATTACTCTCCTTTTATAGAACCTCGGGAGTTCATCAACGTATTCACAAGAGCCAGACAGAGGTCCCTACCCTGAGCCAAATAAATAAAATCCACACCCCGAAACCCCATTTTCATATAAATTTTTTGATCGGATAGCCTGAAGAAAGAGTGAAACTACTCGGAACACATATACATAGATGGGAGGATAATATTAAAATGGATTTTACGCAATTCTCGCCTCTCTCATGACACAAAAATACTTTGCGAAGAGTACCAACATTAGTACTATACACACAGAAAAAATCAGTGCTATGTTTTCAATATGCTTTGGTGAAGGCCTATTGACCGGTATTAGTCTGTTGCAACTTCACGAGATAATTGAATGTGAAGAGATATAGATATCTCACTTCTCCAAAAGAGGTCATCGATTGTTTCTTGACTGAAAATTTCCGACACCTAAGATTCTATCTTGATTCAGCAAAAAAACTATGGCAGATAGTTCCAGGTTCACGAATAGATCCATCTGAAGCAAGAACTGATGTAAATATTATTTTCTTTCCTATCGTAAGATTAGTATGCCCTCCTGCTGGATACGGAATCACAGTTGTGACAGGCCCACGATGCCAAATGCGATTCGTTCTCTGCGTTTTACAATATAACAAATACAAAATCATATGGAAACAATTACATTACAATGTTTCGTGGAAGTTCATTTCCCGTACTGACATGGACCCCCCCCCTTCCCCGGTCACGCTTGGGGACACTTCATTGATTTAGTAGACTATAATTTGTCCCATTTTCGGCATACTTTCCTTTCTCATACAAAGAAAGTATGCTTATGATATCACCTTGTGTGGGTCACATTTCAATTTTGACCGATTTCCACAAAATTTTATACGAACGTTGAGCCACTGGTAACCACCCAACCTCCTCACATTTTTTCCAACTTCCTATAATCGCTATCAACAATATGGAGAACGCAAACTTATGAGGTGGGAGCGACACTAGTGCCTCTTTATATAAAGTTCTAAAATTATATATTGTGATATATTATTAAAAAATAGGCCAAGGCTGTCAAGGCAATTTTTTATGTAAAAAAAAACTTCTCGACAGCACGAATATATATTTTTTTGCTACAAGTTCAATGGCGGTAACTGAAAGTACAACTGCAGCTAAGCATGTAAAATTCTTCAGATATGGATTTGGAGATCGGCGGTGGTAAACCGTAAGATTGTATCTGGAAAATGTAACGAAGACACGACAATTCATGGCAATCGGACCTTATAAAATAAATAACATAATAATAACAACAAAACGGACACAGTAATAATAACATTCTGCAATATATTTACAGTTAAAAAAATAATTAATAAATAAATGTAATCTTCCCAATTGTTTTGAATTTCTTCTTCGTAATCGAGAGGTCTCGAATTCAAATCTCGGCTCGGAGACCGGCTATCTTATTTGAGTCATTTTGTACTTTTCCTCAGTCCCCATAGGCTAATGCCTGAAAAATTCATCATCCATTAATCACCCCATCATTCTATTCTATTCAGTCTGTGCCACTGACTGTGGTTAAATTAAACCAAAATAAATATTTAACCTTCTAATTAACTTACAGCACCTGAATACCACGTTAACACACGATCGGTCAACTATTAACCTTGCCAGTTACAGGGCAAGCATTTTGAAGTCTATCAGAAACTCGTCGGTCCATTTTAATTAAATAAAATAGCCAGGAGATGATTAAACTTTGAATGCTTACAAAGAAGTCTAACCCGCTCTTTTAGGTATCAAAATAAATATGCGATTTAGTACATACATTAGCAAATTTTACACATTTTCAGGCAGAAATGAGTAGTTGTTACTGTGATAAGTTAAATATTAACTTGTTATAATTAATTAGCAGCGATAATAATATGATTAAATTCATTACAGTACCTGTTAATGAACCGTCTTACTTGCAAGAAAACGAAGTCGTGATTCTGTCACCGTTCCTGAAGAACTTTTGAAGACATTTTCAACCGGAGCAACTTGACATCACAATGTACCTAGTCCATCCAGATAGAGGCACAGAAACGAGATTCAATTTTCCCCCCCTTTCTCACATGTATTGTCAGCAAGGAAACAGTATCAGCTGTCTGTTCAATAGCGCTCACTAATCTTTATATACACAAACGCTGTACCCACGCTCGTGTTGTTTTCTGTAAGGTCACACCTTCACGATCAGAACTCAGGCCGCGTCTGTTTGACTCAGCTGAACCACGGGCTTGCCCGTAGTAGTAGCGGCTGTCGGCGAGTACGTCTTGACATGAAGTAGTAGTAGAACTCCTACTGCTCGTAGACAAGGATACATGTGTGCGGTGTGTGGGCTTCTTGATCGGACCACTACAAATGCCGGTAGGCGCTCTTCTGCTGTTTCAAGACCGTATTGTCACAGTACCAGCCATCAGCTGGTCGCTTCCTCACGCAAGGCGGGCAGACAACACTAGTGACAGAAACGCAGTAGTGTTCCGGGGTTAGGATGAGTGAGACGGGGATGTTTTCCATGTTTCCACTACGTCCCACATAGGCTCTGTCGTCGCAGCAGTCAAAGCGCCCCTCGGTACAGAGTTACCGCCCCTAAAGTAGATCAATATAACTGGCCTGGCGCACATTTCAGTCCAGGAGGGAGGGGGGGGACAAGTTGAAGGTTGAAATTCAAGTTCCCCTTCCTCTACTCATAACCTCAAAAATTTATGAGTTCGGTGTGGGGGGTCAACGTGGTTATTTAAAGGGGGTACACCAGGATTTAAACCCTAATTAATACGCGATACACGAATGACGAAATACAACATTGATGAGATTTCAGATTCTCACGGTGGCGACTGTAAAGATGGTTGTCTTCTGGGATGTTGGGCCGTGAAGTCTGGTAGAAACTGGCCGACGTTTCAGAGGTGGTTACTGCAACCATCTCCTAATCTAATCATTGCCTGAAGAGCCAAATGTAGCCAATAAACCGAAATGTTACCACACTTGTTCTGCGTTTAGGTCTGCACGAAGTCTCGTCTTATAGCGAGTTCTCACTGTCTCGAATCTAAATTAACGAGCAACAGATGTAATTGGTGTAGACTATCAGTCTTCATTACAAGAAAGATGGATGACTGCAGTTCACATTCTTTGGAGAAGAACATAACAGACGTAATTAAACTCGGAAAAGTAACACAAACACACAGAATGTTAAACGAAACGCAACTTTATGTTACGTACCGTAAGACATTCAGATGCAGATTGAGAGACAATTACAGGAGAATTTCCGTGTTTTCTACATCACTGTCTTCCCATATTGCTAGCCCGAGATAAACCCACGTTTAAGTTTCAATCGGATGTCTCTGTCACCCTTGCATTTTATGTATCCCGTACTCATAACTCATTCCAAGGAGCATAGTACTTCTACAGATGATAACAGCCACTCATCTAGTTAAACTTGTAAGGATTCATTATCGTGTTCACAAATGCCCGCCACCAGATCTGGTCCTGAGTCACACGAGCTCAGTTAACACCCTTAAATCCTATGTCCATAAGCACCAGTTGAATAACCTACGTTTATGTACACAATTGTTTAATTTCTAAGCCTTTGTAATGTAACTTACTAAATATCAACTGATGGATAAAGAAACACCCCATCTGACAACGTGACAACCCCAACGACGTATAAATAGAATTAATGTCCCGCAGGCAGGATTATCGGACATCACCACACTGAACTCTGTACTACGTAAATTATTTTCCTAGACTGCAAAAATCATTTCCGCAACTATCCCTTTGTTTATGTAAAATATTATTTAAAAATTTAGCCCGTACCGCGAAGTAAACACAACACTTCACCATTACAAAGATCAGTTAGTTGACGTAGTTTACAGAAATAATCGCTGTTTACTGCGAGAACCTACAAAATCTAAAAATCCAGTGATGATAATAAATTCAGAACTGACTGATAAAGTTAACCATAATTTTTTGACAGAATCTTAATTCCTTATGCAAATGCCATCGAATGCTAGAACAATTTGTCAATATAAATGTTTATGATAAGGTACAATCTTCATTCCGAACAAAGGGTACAGCTCCATGCATTCTTAGCCTCGGAGCTAGATGGACGTGAATGGTTAGCTTCAAGCCCAGGCCTGCTTTACCACCGGAGAAAGGTTACGAGTAACGTAGCTGGTTTTATCACAGCAGCTAAATTTTGTACCCCTCCGAGAATCGAACCTCAGTTGCCCAGCCAGCCTATTCATTACATTGACTAAACTATCACGACTGGAAACCGTTAATTGTAATGCAACTACAGTATCAGTTCTGTTGTAATTATAGCTGTAGATCATCATCATCATCATCATAACACAATAATCATGCATATAAAGTAGGACTCAATTATCGATTCGTAGTTCTGGAAACACCCGCACATTTTGTGTCGCATGACGATAATTGCTAAGACGCCGGCAATTAAAAATACTACAGACGTCAATGTTCTGCGACAAATGATAGACTGTAGTTAGTAAAATGAAATTCAGTGGGATTTGAGGTTCTCATGACATTGAATACGAAGGAGGCTGTCTTCTGGTTCGTAGTGTAGTCTGAGAGACGTTTACCGACGTCTAAGAGGTATTGTCGCCCTTATCTTAAAGGAGATCGCCCTTTTGATAGACGTAGTTCGCATCTTTTTAAACATCGGTAAACGTCCACTAGACCAGTCGTGTTCAACCTTTTTTTGTTCGCGTACCCCCCAGATATAATTTCTCTCTTCAACTCTGTACCCTCAAAGTTGTTGGTGTATAATTCAAGTTATACATAGTATATAATCTACATCTAAAATAAATTAAATAAATTACATTACTGATTATTCAGTGTTTATCATAAAATAATATATTCTTTTAAATTTAACGTACCCCCAGGGGTACGTGTACTCCAGGTTGAAAACCACTGTACTAGACTAAATGGCGCAAATAACCCAGAAAACAGCCATTTTAAAACAGCCAATTGCACAAAATTAACTTTAGACTTGTAAATACTCAACTGGGCCTATATTACTGCTAGGATTTAACTTGAAATGAAGTCGGTTTAAACCAATTATTTTCAATACACGAGTTCAATTTTTGATTTTTGCGCTAAGAACGCATGAACACACGATGTGAAAACTCTCCCTGTGTTTTATGATTGACGCAAGAGATTGCTTTTTGGGCTAAAGTACATCTGGTGACGCATATCACGGCGTCAGTCAGCGATGGCGGGGGCGGATGGGGGTTGGAGAGAAAGGGGAAGGGTACATTTCAAATGACCCATATTCAATTCAGATGTACAACAAAATTACAGAGCACCTTGCAAAAAAAATGAAACAAATCTTTATCAAAGGCAGGCAGCACCAAGCACGCCATTTGCCAGCGAAAATTTGAGATCAGGACCGCATGTCACGGGGTCAGAGAGAGGTCTCAAATATGGGTCAGGCAGAATGAGAACGGGAAGACGCTGTTTCTGGACCCAAAAACAGGAAGACACGAGGAAGAACAAGGCAAATGTTACGTAACGCAACTGCGTTTCATGTAGGACAGTATCTTATTATTTTCTATAATGAAAACGGTGTCAAAAGGTCACGGTTTAAAACAATATATTCCGACTGATAAAGATACACAAGGTCAGATATTTGTACATGTGTAGGTAGTCGTCCTGTAGGTGTGTTTCTTCGTAGTCGCAGCGAGATTTGTATTTACTTCGTATAAAAAGCATCGACTTTCCTCTGAAACGTAATTTATTTTCAGTGTTTCAACTCTTCGGAGAACGAAACGACTTGGAGAAGAATGAGATAAGCCATATTTAACGAAGGAATAAAAGAAACGATCTCGGCTATGAAGGTTCCCAGTTTGTACCCAATCGTCCTTCTGGAGGAGTGTAAGACATTCAGAAGTTGAGCCATGGCTTTGTTTATGCAGGCTTTAGTCTGAAGAACGCAACTCGTCGAAATCACATTTAAAATTTCAGTTCGTACTTCAACACAACGTGTCTCGATTACAAACATTAACCGGTCAACGCTGTTGAGAAAAATAACCACTAATGCTCTGCGGCAAGAATGCAGAGATATTGAATGTGGTACACTCACACTAACCACTGTATTTTTAAATAGTTCGCGCAGTGTGTGAATTTGGAGTAATCGTATTTTCGAAGGAAGTCTTTTTTTTAAAAAATGTTATTTGACCTGAATTCCGGAGATGAGACATGAACTTTAATGAACCTTCGGATTCATAAAAGCGGCGAATACTTTTTGCCCATCTAAGAAACGGTCAACGTACCACAGAGTTGAGATTTCAGGTTCTCAAGGCAGCGAGTATGAACATGAAAACCTCGGATAGTGTGCCGTGGTGTCTCGTAGAAGCTGACCGAAATTTCAGAAGTGCTCACCGCCCCCATCGTCTGGGCAGAAGACAGCCTACTTAAACCTCTGTACCCATTGGACAGGAGGATTTATCGAGCTTGCCTAGTGGGCAAAGTAGCATTGACGTCCTACGACGTGCAACGTTCGTTCAAGCCACCTTCTGCATAACAACGTCGTTTTATGACAGAAGCATATTATCGTGTCTTACCGAGAGTCACGAAAGTCGTGTGCCCTTGACTAATGTCAGAACGCTCCCATACCTACATTTTAGGTGAAGCAGCTACAGAAATAACAACCCAGGACGATCGTACCAGTTACAAAGTCCATTCAGCAAAAACTGAAAGCAATAAAATGTTCGCATTAGCAAGATGTAAGAGACGTATGGCACAAACCAACACGCGATGTAGTCTGGAAGAAGTGTACTGGCTCCATCATCAGGCCTCATCACCCTGATGATGGAAGCAGCAAGGACATACAGCATAGAACAACTTCAATATTCTGGTATCTTCATTCACTGTTGAAAATTATCCCCAAGCGATGTCTCTTTTTCTGGCTCGTATGTGTCCCGGAGAACTTCTAGCCTGTTCAAGGCTGATCGCGGTTATATCCTGGAGAAATTCTGGAAAAGTACTAGAGAAGTTCCGGAGAAATCCTGGACAGTTTATGCAGAAGATTTTTGGTCATGGAGAAGTGCTGGAAGTCTCTATGGAAGTACTTAAGCGTTGGTGGGTTCGATCTAATGCTGGTCGGTTATTTTGCATTCGTTTAAGTTTGATTGGGATGAGTTACATTGAATTAGGTTGCGTTTTGAGTTAGGTTGGGTTAGGTTAGGTTAGGTTAGGTTAGGTAAGGTTATGACATTCCTAATTTCTGACGTCTTCTTGCAAATGGTATCCAAAGTAATTGCAAGAACTTAGCGTCTAGGTATTAATTTGTACCCTGAAGACAGAATCAAATATTGAGTAAGACTGACACGCCTAGGGACTTCCGTGCGAACTCAAACCCACACACACACTCACGCGCGCGTGCAACAAACTGATGCGACAAATCTCGCATTTTCTTGTACAAAGGAACGAAAGAAACAAAGTAGGCGTGTGGATGCGTGAGACGAGACACAAATCACTTTCAAGCCCCCGACGAAGGTCAACGGTGTATTATAGATATTAAAATACGCCTTCATGATTTATGTACGTCTTGAAACAGGCCACGACTGTACTTTCAACTCCGCCATATCATAAATCACATGTGTTATTAATGTTGCGTCATCGTTCATCGTTATAGCAATCCGATTTCAGTAGGTATCCAGGCAGCGCGTTTGATTTATAACAAGACGTTAATAAACGATATAACATATTTAAGTAAGCAAATAGATAACAGTACACATTAGACGAACGGGGTATTTGGCGTCTATGGAGGATTGTATTAAAATGGGTCTTAAGGAAAATGGCAGGCTTGAGAATTCAGAAAACTACATGTATTTGCCCCTTCTGATCCACGCATATGTCCGACGACCTTGTGGTCCCAAATTCTTGCTTCTGAAATATATAAACTATGACAACAGTAACAACTCGCCCACCAGAACTTCCAAATTCAGAACAACGATGACGTAAGAATTCTAGAGAGGGCAATTCTGCGGGGCACCCACCATTTGTTTACAATTTTCGTATGCAAATTCAGTGTTCCGATGACGTAAACAATAATGGCGAGTTAAACCCGTCTCAGAACATCTACTAGGTCACTTATTTACTACGTACTACCTATCCACTCATCTCTCTCTCTCTCTCTCTCATCTGATGGCACACACCACGCCTACTAGCAGTTTGTACGATTTTCACAAGAGTTGTTCTGCATATGTCGACAAGAATCTAGGCATACAGACGTTGAATCTAATGTAAATTTATTAAAAAAAACACGTGTCTCATACAAATATCACAAGTAAGAGTGTTGTGGTGCTGTCTCTGAACCACACACAAATTCCCAACGACGACGTCACGCATGTAATGAGGACCTCGGCCTGTATGTTCATCGTCCCACCTCAATATTTTGATCACTCTCCCTTTTGATTTTACAGATTTGAGAGAATTAAGAAGCACTATCATGGACTAGGCTCCGATCGCATTCTGTACGGAATTTAATGAAAATCCGTTCCCTAGCCCCAAACTGTGGTCCACGAGGCCAAGTGATAGAACGATCTTTTCGGATGAAATACGCGTCAGACAGACTTGAACACGCATATAAGGTATTATTCGCTAATGCCAAAGCGTAAAAATACACCTGGATGTTTTTCGATGATCTATTAGCAAATAGGACAACAAGTTTTGGGTCCTATATTAATGTCTCTACGACCCCACAGGTCTGAACGATAGCCATGTTGGTTATTATTGACATTGGGAAATCCAAAAGGGCAAAGATGGTAACATGACGTTCGAAAATTCTTTGTATTTCTCTATAAAATAAAGAAATTATACTAAAATGTACCTCATTACAATGCTGAACACGCAGATACAAGTTGGGTTCCAAATCGTTAATTAGAGGTCAGTAAAGTGCATTCACTTTCTGCATCTTTCACATAATAACAAAGCAGTAAACTTACCTTTGTATAGAACTTTAAACATTTACACAACTGACGACGGAACCGCGCAGATTAGTCACTCCGATGGTTTGCTGTCTTCCTCTTGTCTGTGAGCGCATGTTGACACAAAGTCCCACCGACGCCATAATCCGAGTTATTGACAATCAATGACAGCGTCCTTAATTCGGCCACAAATCACATGCACACATTCGTATGAGTTGCTTCGATCTATCGAGGAATATACACTGAACACTTCACTGTTGAATTATATCTTGTTTACTGCCTCACGCTATATGAAGTTATGTGAGAAGATATCAATTACTCGACGCTATAAAGTCAGAGCTAATCACAACATCGTTAATTAAACAACAATTAAAGAAGATATAAATTATTCCAGAGGCCACTGACGAATAAAAGACATGCATTGGTATATGGCATCCTATTGTCCTGGATCAAGATATTTTGCCTGATTATTATATTAAAGTTCCTGTTGTGTACTTTATAGCCTTCAAAACCGTCAATATTTATTAAATACTAGAGCAGAGCAACCAACCTGTGTAAGAAACTAAACTAATCCCCCCGAATTGAGGGTTGGTTGAGTTTTAAAATCTTAAGTAACACGCTAAACTAACTTCCCTTCGGGGGGTTAGTTTAGTGTCTCATTCAAGTGTTTTAACCCTTGAATGAGCAGTATGACTTGGATGAATATTATTATTAGTATCAGATTACGACGACGACTAATCAGAAATTTTTATAGTAGATAAGATAATACATTGGTTTGCATTTATAAACATACACGTATCTTAACAGAATGTTGCACTAGCAGGAACAACTCACGAGGGAGGTTCGTGCTGCTCTGCCAACTTCATCAAGTTAAAAGCTATCCACAATCGATTAATAGATCGAAAGTTGTACTGAAACAGTCAGCAACCTGCATCACGCTCAATAAGATCGTTGTTTTTATAAAGGTAGATTGTTCGTTGTACAAACCATATTGCATTTAATAACTAGAGAATACTTTAACGAAAATTTCAATAAATTCCTGATGGACGTTGTGCCATAGATGACGATTCGAATCTCAAACTTCGAAATTCGATATCTAGGGCACTCATCCTCGGGTTGTGGTTAAACTTAAAAAGTGGTATGGTTTTAATTGCAAATATGAAGATTGTTGCTAGGGAAAACAATTTGCTTGCGATGGATAACGCAGCAGGTGAGAAATATTTGTCAGTGTGTCTCAAACTAGCTTGGTACTCATATGTATATGTTGCAACTTCTCGAAATGATCTCATCTTCCCCCCCCCCTCCGGCTAAGATCGCTTTATCTCTGGACCCACGTACGTAAATTCTGTCGCCCACCATCCCACCTGATCCCGGATCGCAATGAATTATGGATGTCTCCGTGGGATGACTTTCAGAACCATCCTTGACTGGGAATTATAATTCAGCATTACTACGGTAAAGACTTTGTAGCAAGATCAAGAGAGGACATGAAGACGGCTCCTGGCTCACATTTCTGCTATGGTTCTTAATTTTTTGCGATCTTACTCCACGGAAACTTCACACACCTCGCAGGGGTAACGCCCTAGACAAAAGGAGTTTACTTGACTAGTCGATCGACTGTCAGCTACTTAATAAGTTCCTGTTCCATCGAGGTGTGGGAAATGTATAAATAGTACTTGCCACATGATAATTTCAGGATGATGACATGTGAGATTACCTACAACATTCGATCCAACCATACCGACTGCCTGCCGAAGTACACTCCATTCTAATTTTCCTGTTGCCCTGTAGGGGCGCTAAACATCCTAGAGGGCAGTAAAGAAAAGCAAAATCTCAAATCCTATAAAGTAAAACACTGCGCGAAGTTCGTAACATTTATTCTCCCGTTCCGAGGCCGATGTGTGAACAGTAATAATAACAAAAAATACACACACATTAATACACAAGTTAGTTAAAATGACAGTAGAATTTGGAATAAGTCGTAAAGATACATAACATATAGACAAAAACGTTTCAGTTATACATTTCTATTGGCAACCCTGTCCTTTCGAATGAATGATGAGATACACTTCCGCTGTTACGCCTGAGAAATCTATGACCCACAAAACGGCAAAGAACGTATTATACGTGTGTTGTATGCGACCATAAGCCCTGGTGTTGGCTAAATGTATAGGTGTGACATAACCGTGGTTTTGGCGGGACTTGAAAAGTTTACGGTGCAAAACACCAAGCTTGGTGGGACTCTCTTGAAAATCTTACGGTGCAGAAATCCAAGTTTGTCAAATAAAATTTACAAGTGTCCAAATATATTTTCAACAGTATAATATACCTATTTAAACCAATTCAAAGTGTTATAACATAACCTAAAATACTGTCAAAACTTTACGTTTATATCAGCACATTCTTTCTTACAGTTTACGATGAGTGATACTGGAAAAGTTGAAAACCAATTCAACGGTAGTAAGTTTGTAGGGGATGAAAACAACTATACACAAACATTAAGGTGATTACATATTTTTAATTTCTTATATGTCTGGCATGTAAAATGAAAAATATGCACACTCTTTTATGTTTCATATGTAAAAGGAAACTACTAAACAAATAACTTTGTCCAAATAGAAATAAAGATTCTCTAGTTGGAATATCTCACAAAACATGCTGGTAGTAGTACAGAAAATGTATCATAAAGGGACATAATTGTATCTTCACATGAGTGTCTTTTAATATTGTATCCTTTAAATATAATTGGATATGTTGACAAATTTCAGTAATACTCCTCAAAATCAAACGGAAACCCATTTAGCCATTCTCAAGTTATTTAATGCAGGCACATGGATAACACTTCGCAGGGATGCTGATGCTAAAAAATGATCAAAAAGTTTGTCAACCCTTTTTAATTTTGCAGATATTCCCATGGTTACTCTTTTATACCCAATATAAACAGCAATATATAGGGCCAAAGACTTTTCATATAGGTAGAATTTCTTATGGTAGTGTGTACAAAGATGGCTGTCTTCTGGGTTGTAGTGATGACTCCATCCTTTCCCTGATGGAGGCAGTATGATCTCTGAAACATTGGTAAACTTCTACCAGACTACATGGTGCTACAACCCAGAAGATAGTCATCTTTATAATTTTAACATAAACATACAATAAATATTCCTTCACAGAGATATGAACAACAAACGAGAAGATTACTTGAGCTGGACAGACTATTTCATGGCTACTGCATTCTTGGCTGCTAAACGAAGTAAAGACCCATGTTCACAAGTTGGAGCATGTATTGTGAATGAAGATAAGAAAATTGTTGGTGTGGGATATAATGGCATGCCACATGGCTGCAGTGATGATCAGTTTCCATGGAGCAAAGAAAAAAAATATAAACTTGGCACAAAATATTTATTTGGTAAGAGAGATGCTCATTTCCAGACAGTGCAACTACAGTATCACATATTAATACCCAAAAGAAGCCACTATCCTATGTAAGGGTGCTCACTACCCATATATGGTCCAGGGTGACAATCTTTCAACTTTGATGTTCAAGTTTTGTGGAGTAGAACAAACTCTCTGAAAGTTCAACACAAGGCCACCATTTAACATGACCTTTATAGCCAGTACCATCCACCTTTCATCCTCACAGCCACTTGCATAAAATAAGAAGCTGCTTCTGGTATTCTGTGTCATTTTATTGTAAGTGATCCTCACTTTATTATCTGCCCAATTTCCTTTCATATTTTTATCACACGTGTTTGTTTTATATTAAATGTAAACATTACATTTTAAAAAATTATGTAATGACATATTTAAAATGTTTCAGAGATTAACATTCCTGCACTGTATTCTGGAAGTCCTGAATTCCAAATGTGGTGGTGGCCCAGAAAACAGCTATCCTGACTTCCGTTTAGTCACTCCAGACAAATGATATGAAATGTATATTAAAATTAGAGTGAATCATCTTGAAAAATAAATGTCTGTGGGTTTAAACTGTATGAACTTTTATTAGCAGTTGGCACTGACATTTAAGTACTGAGAAATGTAATTCTTATTTCATGATAAATGCACAAGAACAGTCTTCTCTTCAAATCAGCAACATGCAAGCCACAATCAAGCTGCTCAATTCATTCTTAGACAAGTTTAATTCAATAATATTGCATCATCATAAAGATGGAATACAAGAACTTAAAATTACCATATTTCAGTCTGTCATGCCGAAATGAATGCAATCCTGAACAAAAACTCAGCAGATGTTAAGAACTGCACCATGTACGTCGGACTGTTTCCATGTAACGAATGCGCCAAGCTCATAATCCAGTCCGGAATCCGAGAAGTCATCTATATGTCAGACAAACATTCTCACAAGACAGAAACAGTTGCTGCTAAATTAATGTTTGATTCTGCAGGTGTCAAGTACTGGTAAGAAATCATGAAATGTATAAATTTAGTAGTTTTCAAATAGTTTTTGAATTTTAGGGCTTAGGATCATGTTATCAGTTATTCAAATACCTTCTATGTACTTTTTAAGTTTTCAGTTTCAAAAGTGTACAATCGTTTCTGCCACACAGTCAAGATCATAAAGGTATTTAACAGTTGTTAGTAGTACCATGTGATAAAATTCCTGCATTCTGGTTCACATTGCAGGCAGTACATACCACAAAATCCAAAGGTAGTGATTGACTTCACGGAAATCAACTGGAACAATATGACCCAGTTACCATCATCTCCATCAAAATCCAGTGAAGAAAACTGAAAATCTGAGGATAACAATAAATTAATAGGCGAGATACATATTAAGTTATGTTTGCTGGCAAGATAAGTAGAATGTTAACAAATGTATTGTGTGACCAAGAGAGATGTGAGAAGTTAGAACAAAATGAAGAGACAGCGATGAAAACATGATTAGCTAAAAAAAGTATTCAGTGATGGAAGTGCTCTGAACATGATGACAAGGGAATTTATCACAAAATCAAAGAAGACCAGGAAAGTAGATTCTGAATAAATGAGAAGAATGTGTTCACTGATAATCACCTAATGAATACAAGAATTTATAGAAGAGTCTATGGCATTTCATTGTTTCTCACTAATTACAAATTCTCCTCTACCATGAAAATTATTAAATAGTTGATCTATTGCAAGTGGCAAATGCAGGCCTGACAGACGGGGATCATTAGAATTTGAAAGGGTACTGCATGATATTTTGTGCCATTTCATATTGTTAACCATAATTGATTTTGAAGTCCAGAATGCTTACAGTTTCTTCATTTCTGCATGTTGTCTGATTGTAATATTAAATATATTCTGTTTGCTTACCTTCATCTCCTGAAACACATTTATTTAGTAGTAAGAAATAAAATACAATGTACAGTCATTAAAAAACATGGAGCAAAAGAGATACAAGATGGAACTCAGTCTCCAGTAAAGTTTCTTCATGGAATCAGTTTCATTTCCTCTCAACATTCACTCATGTAATGAAATTGCTAATAACAATCAGTTTTCTATAATGCACTTCATTCATTTCAAATAAATAATAATGTTAAAGAAAAATCAAACAATACATTGCCTACCAATCTAATAATTCTCTACAGCAAAATGAAACACCCCTCAATTTGGAAGGATTTCATATTAGGGGATAGAAATTTCCTTCCTTTCGATGATGCAAGAACTACATAATTGCAACACCTGAAAATGGCTTCGGGTTATCCGATTATTATCCATTATCTTCAAACTGATTTTTTGTGAATCACATTTAAGGTGACATACCAAAATGGCATCACCGTCAGAGAGAGGAAGAATCACTGAAATGTTCACTCTCTGAATGGAATCAAATTCCTGTCAATAGGACGCCGGTACAATTGTCAAGTACATACAAAGTGTTGCTACAGTTATTCGTGTGTTAAAAAGCTTTATGGTACAATGACTTTGTCTTTGTTTTCTCTCCCTTTCATATTGCCTTAACAACGAATAGAAAAAAACAAAGATTGAGATGGACAAGTCGCTGCTATCTGCATTGCTCTTTAAATACACAGATCACAAGTCAGACCCACAGAACTCTACCTTATGGAAAGAGCTTCAAGCCAACTAGCCCATATGAGTAAGATGGTGCAAGAGCAGGGCAGTTAATAGAAAAATAAACAGCATTTCAAAAAGTTCAGATATATATCAATAGATATTTCTGATACAGAAACTCTAGTGATTTTTGCCACCAAAGACATTTTTACACAGGGAACTTGTTCTAGAAATAATGCAGTCTAAGATCTGTCTCACTTCCTTGCAAGATAAGAGAACCGTGAAAAATACCGTGACCTAGGACACAGCATACGCGTAGCAACAGAAACTGGCTGGCTTTGTAAAATTACCACAAGATAGAGCTCAGTAAAAATTTAATTCTCCCAGTTTCTTTGCTGCAATTCAGTTCCAATCTTTCCAAATGTTGTTATGCATCACTTGCTTCTATGATGGACAATTTCCAGCAGCCACCGAGTTAGGAGCACATGGACAGACAGGCACTCAAGTCTTTTGAACAATGATTTGACAGTAAGAAGATCACGATCGGCTGTATTTGTTCTGCTGTCAATGACAACAGAAATATTATCAAGAAAACCAATGACCTGAGTTAAGATCACCTAGAAGATGTACACAGTGGTCATCCGATACTCTATCTTATCATCATCTTCTGAGTTCACTGTCTTTGTAGATACTTCCCATTAACTTGAGTCCAGTTGTTCTCAGTGGTTAACTTGTGTCTTATTATGATACATTTTGTACAGCTCAGGCAACAAGAGAAGCAACAGCACCTTGACTGTGACTGATTTTATACTTACAATTCTTTGATTTTTCGAGACTAAAACACTCCTTCAAACCGCTTGATTACGCGACACATTTTTTACCTTCCTTGATAATATATACCTTGCTGCTATGTAGAACATTTCATAATGCTCACTTCAATACAGAGACTGCTAAGGCAACCTCACAAAATTCACATTATACGACAAGATGCTTTGGATGCCTCCAAAACTATATGACAAAATGCTCGCACACTTCTTCGAAACTTCTTACATGTCTTGTAATGTCAGAAATTTAAACCACGCTGCAACGTTTGCTCTTAATATATATCATAATCAACCAATATTATGGTTGGGTGTGTTCATCTATGACATAACTGCCTATTTTAAATTTCTGACAGTATTCACTCAGAACTTCTTTTAAGATTCCTTCAGAATTTCAATATGATTTAGTTAACTTATCAAATAATTCCATTCCTATAATTGTTATGGTACAAATTACATCCTTGATTTACTAATTAGGCTTGTTGCAAAGTACAGTTCATTGAATCAACATGCACTTAACTTCACACTGTTTTTGTTCATTTCCACATTGTCTTCCAGCTACTTGGATTCGCTCGCGTTTCGCTACAGATCGACGTCCCCTACACGGGCAGAACTGTGCATGCTAGGAAAGTAGTGATAATGTGAGGGCCACCTAGATGGGAAAGGCCAACATCAGTTATTGATGCAGTTCTCTTTGCCATCAGAAATGTGATTAGTTTCAGCAGCGGGAGAGGACTGACACACGGCGGATGGCGGGCGGAAGACTTGAGCATGGGGGAACTGGACGTGACAACGTGCCTCATACTCTGCTACTTTCTCTGGACATGAACCAAATTCTTCATTCCTTAGAGCCTGAAGAACTTTTGTACAGTTCTGTAAATATCAACCATAAATTCTCAGCGTTAGCATTAACATCTGAAATCCGTTCATCAAAAGGCAGTCTGAAGAAAGAACAAGCAACCAAAATTGGAAACATATTTGTAATTGTTTATAATAAATAAAGTACATATAAACTATAAGCATCAAAATAAAGTGAATAAGTACATACGTACCTGTAAATTGACTCCTTCAATATCTTTGTCCAAAGTAGTGGCCAATTTTATGGCAGTCTCCTGTTTTGATGGATCAAGATGATACATCATTCGAGCACCTAGAAAATGGATTAAAAAATTTATTGACATAAGAATTCCTTAACCTGGCAAAAATGGTGACCCACTTCTGTTCTAGAAATGTATATATTTTTTTAAATGAATCTTCTTTACACGCTTTTATTGCCTCTGAATTTGGCTCATGTGCAGTCCACCTGCCTGTGCATCACAGTAGCACGCTACTAAACCATTAATCCAGAGAATTAAATTCTGACTGACAGTCCTGTTTGATAAATTTTATCATTTCTCTGGAAATAGGTTCCTGGAAAGTAACTGGATGGTCACAGGACTTGGGACCCATTAAAGTCTAACTGAAAGAGATCAATCCATTTGGGATCGTATATAACAGGAAACCTATTGGTTGGGAAGCCTGAGGGGAAAAGACCGCTGGGGAGACCTAGACGTAGATGGGAGGATAATGTCAGGCGGGATCTATGGGAGATAGGAGTTGAAGGAGACCGGATTTTGGTGGCCCAGGACAGGGTCCGGTGGAGGGATTTGGTTAATTTGGTGATGAACCTTTGGGTCCGGTAAGCCATCTAGTTAGTTATATAATGGGAAACAAGTCATGAATGACGACATACGGACGGAGAAGGATATTGTGGTTTTACCAATGCAAGGCACACTATTTAACAATGTTTCTAGTTACGCATGTGAAATAGGCAACATTTTAGATTATAGCAAATCACAAACTCTCCTCATTATGGCTTGACACTCACTTTCAAACAGAGCCTCAAGAGATTTCGAGTTTGCTGCTAGGAACTCTGCGTTCATTTGGCGTGCGTCTCTTCCTCTGAAAATAGGTTCCATCTCCTGTTTCAAAACCGTTGCCACTGATGCTTCTAGATTCCCTTGCCACCGTGTCAAGTAGCCATGACACAGAATGAGACAAGAATGAAGTTTTGGGCTATCTGGATCCAGACGATGCGCCCTCTTGATTGACTGTAGCATGAGTAGCGGCTTTTCTGTTGCAGAGATACATCCGTATATCCAATTTAAGCACTGTTTCTCATTATAAAGCAGTTTCACATTGAACTAATAACATATTCTATTTAGTGACTTATTTTAAGTGCAAAAATGAGATGTCACAAAAACTGAGAATGGTCTGCGAGATACATGAAACAGACCTGTGAATAAAAATGTATCTTACTTTTTCTGGAATATATTTCAAAGGCCATAAGGTGAGTTTCTATTCTTCTTCCAGCCAAAGTTTGCAAAGGTTGAAGAAATCTAATGGCTTGTTCTAATGGATCCTCCACCTAAATGACACAGCAAAATATACAATAGATCATGTTACATATGCACATTTTCAACCTTAGTAACGCAGGCGAGAGATTAAAGTTATCAATCGGGCAAATATTCTCCTCACATTTTTTCTTTCTCAAATACGATCTTACTTCAGAGTGAGACACACGTTGTACAATCAAATATACAAAATATATTTGCGCTCACGTCAAGTGTTCCGTAGTTTTAAACTATTTTACGATGCAGATACGAACCCTGGCAAGTTTCTCTGGCACTAACTCATTCTGCTGTGGAGCATCTGGCTCGGCGTCGCCCTGCTGTCGTGATTTGTTATGTTGCTCTCGCTTTTCCTGAGCCTGAGCTGCCTGCTGACGTTCCAGTTCGGCCTTCCGAAGGGCCTTACGCCGTTTGTTGCGCAGCTTCTTTATTTCTGAAGGGGCAAGATTTTCTGTAACAAAGAGAAGTAGTACTATTATAAATAAAAAGTTCTTCCAGTATTTCATATTCACTCATCATCTGGAGGATGGGAAACTTGGATGTGACAGAGGAGGGAAAATATTAACTGCATCATTGGTAACCCCCAAGCAACCCTTACACAACTGCCACCTACTCATGTGTTGCTAAATCATGTGATCATGCGGTTACAAGCAAAACTATTTAAAGGTGTACAGGAGGATCAAAAGTAACTCGGAAGATGATATCAGATTTTATTATAAAAGATTAAATGAATGGATTCAGCTGACCCAGGAAGTGGCCAGCAATTTATTACCTTATCATTTACAGCACTTGCCCACATGTTTACTAAAATATGCAATATACTTAAATAACGAAGTATTTACATCAACGACAATAATTATAATGATGTTTCTATCAGTGAAATGTTCTTTGAATATCCAAAACCAACAAATATGAATGTGTCTGGTCGACTAGATTACTACTCGTAGTCCTTCTGAAGTGGGACTGTAATTTTAAGGGATGTTTAAACCACATCCTAGTAATTCTGGAGGCCACTGACTTGTGAGACACTCCTTTACATGCAATCATATGCCAATCAGTTCACCACACCCAACCTGTTCTGCTTCTGGGCACAACTCCAATTCTGTCATACGAGCACGAGAAATAGTGACCTAGTTGTGCAATACTGACATACAGTTGCTTATAACGTCCACTTTAATGCTATGCAGAATTATTCTATCAAATACGCCACATGGCATGCACGTGAAGTTGACACGTGATCTCAAACATCATTAAGACAATATTGTACAACATACAAGTCGGAAACCAGAAGCTACACTGTTACCAACATGACAGGTGAATTACTTTTAGTAATATTGACTACAGACTGGATAATCAGTGTTCAATCCCTGGCTAGTGCAAAAGATTTTTTTCTTGTGTCACGTGTCCTCCGAGGGGTAAACCATGGCCAACCACTCGCCCTCATCTAGTGTAGAGGTCGAGAATGAGCTATATATTCTGATACTATTTGGGCGCACGGTCTCTGTCACTCGAGGTGAGAGTCGTTCATGTCATAGTCCTGCTCAGAGCGGATGTGACGTAAGAGGGCTTGTTAGTACAAGTCAACATCTTCCGCTGCCTGTAGCTGTAGGTCTCGATATCCGGCCATAGTCGTACCCCGTTTCCAATGCAGCTTAGTTTTAATACCGACGCCATAAAGCGTGAAAGTTTGAACAGAACAAATACTGATGTCGTGTCGAAGGAATTAACAGACAAAAAACACTTTCATTCATATTTGAATTCCTCGTTGTTCCCGTTCGAGGTAAACTATCACTGTGCAGTGCACGATCTTTTGTTGTACGTGTCCACAGCAGCACCATTTTATACTGGCCGAATATCGACCATCATTCGATTGAGCGTTCATGCCGTGACGAACACGTTTGAAGAAAGTGACCTCCGGATAGGCGAACATATGTTCTGGGCAGTTAAACATTTACATCTCTAGGAAATAATTCACACTCACCGCTGATATGCTCCGAGGTTCAAACACATTGAGACTGACACAATTAGAAGTAGCCTGCGTCCTGCAACTGTGAAGGCTTTTGACATCAAGAATATGTGTACAATCTAAGTCACGTGTGATATAAAGTCTAAATTTTCATTTAAAAAATATTTATTCGAGAGACAACTTTCGCACACTGAAAAATATACGAAATAAAACTCTATACTGACAGTCTATGGAATTCAGTTCCATTTTAAATCGAGAAACAAATGGATTCTTAAATTGTTTTAATATATAAATAAGCCCGGACCTGTTTTCATTTGTTCTACACAAACGCCATGGTTATTCGTAAATTTCATTTTCAGTAACAATCAACAGAAAATACCCTCAAATTTTCTGCAATGGACGGAGTTCTGGTTTTTCTCTAAGTAGGAAGAAAATTAACAGTCCCCGCTTACAAGACCTGACACTGCTCAATGGACCGGTGAAATAAATTACGTTTCATTTTAAAACGCTGACTTGACTACTGTATGATCTGTATCATGACTCTTAGTAACTCTTGGTCTTCCGTTCAACAGAAGTCGTGACAATAGGCGAATTATTTTTTACTGTGTAGTACTGTTTGAATCTGCCACATTCTTTTTATTGTATTACACATTTAAATTAATGGTAATGAAATAACCAACCATTCTTCCAAGCGCAAAACGTAAACATTAATACAAACAATTGTAATTTATTTATTTATTTATTTATTTATGGTTTATTTAACGTTTTAATTCAGTATCAATAATAAAAGGTGTCGAATGAGAGGATGGCAGTAATGAACTGGAAGGGACGTGTTAAGAAAGTGGTCGTGGCCTAACTTTAGGTACCATCACGACATTTGCCTGGGTGACTGCGGAAAAGCACGGAACACCTCAGTCAGGATAGCCGGTCTTTGGGCCAAGATTTGAGCCCAGGTCCTCCTCAACACAAAGCACGCGACCTAACTACAAAATTACGACTTTCGGTGAAATTGTAATGACCTGGTCTTACCGACAGTTAATATAACACCACGCCGCTTTGCATCATCCTTGAAACAGAATTTCTTTTTAATTTCACGAATTAAATAACGTGCCAACGCGTAACAGAAATTCCACGAATGCATTCATTTCTGATGGCGCGTAATATTTTTGTTACATTTTACACTTTCCAATTACGTAAGTTCGTTTACGGTCTGCCACTCGTCCAGGGTAAGAGCCAGAAATTAACGCTACTTCCACGCAATCTTGTCGCCACTTCTGTGTGTTACGGGG